AATGATGCTGTGATTCTCCAGGACAAGAAACATCCTGGGAGCTGAAAACATCCTGGGAGAACAAATATCTACTCAGTTCCTCATTGTTCTTGGACTGTTACATCTTGTTTACCCAGGATGTACTGAACTCTCTGCAAGTCATTTGTTACATTTGTTTCTCTCGATGTACTGAGTACTGAATAAAAGGTGCGATAAGCTGGGGGCTTTGTCTTTGCTGTCCAGAGCAGCACTGATCAGACCCAAAGCTCACCTTCTTCTCAGTCTCATTTTTCTACCTTTCCTGCAATTTTCCTTGTGCTGCCGTGGCTCGCAGGAGACTAGGACTTAACTGCAGAGGATCTAGTAACATCTCCTTTCCCTGTTCCCTACAGCAAATGACGTGATTATTTATATAGACAATCAAAAGAAATCTACAAAATAACTATTGTACCTGATAAATTTAGAAAGATTACAGAACATAGTATGGAGTTAGAAACTAAAATAAACAAACAAAAAAACCCTACAACAATCTCCCTCAGTAATACACCACTAAATAATCCATATTGCAAACATGACATCCACATGAATTTGAAATTCTAAAAAGGGCAAAAATAGTGCTAAGTGAAGGGTGTACATGCAGAATGTGATGGCATCTGTGGTGTGAATATAGTGTAGCAGAAGGCTGGCTCTGCCATTGAAACCCACGAAGCTCCATCACCTTCAAAGCCTCAAAGGAGGAGAAAATTTGATAAGGCAAAGATATTTGTAAAAGAAATAAAGAAGAGACAGAGTGAAAACTCCTAGGATACTAAGATACATGGCAGTGTACATATATCATCCTTTTTACATTAAAAATAGAAACATAATTTCAATGCAAAATTTAACATCTCTAGTAGTGTTTATCCTACCTAGGCCCTGTGCTCCACATTTTCCAACATCTTGTATATGGTCTTCAAGAAAATGACCTTTTTGCATTATTATTGGCTGATATTTCATTTTGCAACACTATGGCAGAGAATCTTTTTGTAGTATTTCAGATTATCCTCTCTTTTGAGGCTTAGTGACAAGCCTAGCTCACATGCACATCTTGTTAATTCTCCCTGTTTGATGGAGAAAAATATGTATTATTTTCTTCTTGCATTGATGTAAATTGGCCCCAAGAACACTCCCGCTATCTGAGTTCTCTACTCCTCTGCCACATTCCAGCCCAGAATATGTATTTTTTGGTTGTGACCTACAGCTATCTATATGTGTCTAATAGATAAGACTTACTAATTTAACTTTTATTTTTATTATTGCAAAAACTTTATGTATTGCAGAAGGGTTGTTGAAATTCCTCAGAATACTGCCATATATTCTCTAATTGATATTTTCTCTCTAAATTCTACTTTTCTTCATCCTCCTAAGTATAAACTTAATTTTCTTTTTTGTCTCTACATTATCTTAAAATATTATTATATGTAAGATCACAGTGCTTCTTTTTGATAATTTGAAAATCCATGCCATTATACATAATGCACTTATTTCCTTATTATTTTATCATGAATTTTATCTAATTCTTTGTTAATTAATAAAACTACTAAAGATTTTTTCTCATTGCATTTGTCAAATCATACTCATAATAACTGTGATGTCTTGTTTTTGAAATTTTTTCAAGTTTAATTTGGCTTCTACACATCTTTCACAAAAAGACTAATTTTGTCATTTTCTTATCAAATTTCACAGTTTATACAGTGTTCAAGGGAAAAACTTATTTAAATTTTATAATAATTAACATGTATCCTTTATTTTGCTATGAATATTTTGTTTTCCATTTTCAGATTACTTATTCATATTCTAGGGTTTATTTTTCATGTATTCATATGTACTTTCTTTTGTTATTCTACTGTGTACTTTTTAGTTGGATAAGTGCTATATTCTACACTTGTAATTTATCATTATTATATAACTAAATAGCAGCTTCCAAACTGGTTATATTTTCTCATTTGTTTAGAAGATAATGGACTTTTCAAATTTCAGCCCTTTTTATCTCATTCACCTATATTTTTTTACAGCTGTTTCCTGCATTTTATATTTTTCTTTCACATCTAATTTATATTTGAATATTTTCTAATTTCTTGTGTGTTTTGGGATTTTTTGGGGGGTGTACTGATTTATGTTTCCTGCCTAATTAAAATTGAATTTTCTACTTTTTATCATGTGATATAACCTATGTATGAAACTTCCAATTTTTATTATTTATTTATTTATTGATTGATTGATTGATTTTTGGTACTGGGGATTGAATTTGGGTCCTTGCACTTGTGCAGCAGGCAGTGAAATCATTGAGCTAAATCTCAGGCCCAACTTCCAACTTTTAAAAATCTACATGTTTCTTTGAAAATTTTTATTTTGGAGGTTTTCTGGTTAATATATATTGCTGATTTTATTTCTATGAATAATTTATAAGATTTTCTTATTTTCATGTTGTTAAGTTTGAATGTTTAGTGATGAAATATCCAAATCCATTATTATTTTTAATGTTTTTGTGTTATTGATAATGATAAAAAATTGTGGATTTCCATATGTGTTAAGCTGCTTGTGTCATTGCAATTTGAAGTGATTTTAAGGTCTTTATTCAGTGTCTTTTTTTCCTTCAGATGATGCTAGTGTCTGCTTCAGTCAAGTATTGATTGTCTTCATTTCCTTTTCCATGACTCCAAGTTAATCTGAGAATATCTGATTTCTCTCCTTCCAGTAACTGGTAACTCAAAGCAAATATTTCCATAAATAACTGGAAATAAAGAAAAAATGAAACAGGTGTCTAAAAACTCTTTAGTAATGTGACCTTTAAAAATAAAATACTAAATACA